CTTCACAACAACAAACCAATCGCCTTCTAGACTCTTTCGTGTTGGATATACAAAATAAATCTTTTTTATTATATTTTATAGTCCTCATTGGCCTCATTTATTTATTTATTTATTATTTATTTATTATTCGATTTTCTATACCGCCCTTCTCCTTTCGGACTCAGGGCGGTGAACAGCCAAAATAAAAACATTTATACATAAATACGATTAAAAATAGATTTAAAATAATTAAATTTGGCCCATAGTTTAAAATTTATCAATTTAAAATCCATATCAAAATTTAAAACCAACCATAAAATCATAAAATCAAGAGAGACCGGCTAACTGAAAGAGATGAGTTTTTAGGGCCCGACGAAAGGTCCGGAGGTCGGAGATCACTCGTATCTCTGGGAGTAGATTGTTCCAAAGGGTAGGTGCCACCACAGAGAAGGCTCTCCTCCTGGGGGTCGCCAGCCGGCATTGTCTAGCCGACGGCACCCTGAGGAGGCCCTCTCTGTGGGAGCGAACTGGCCGGTGGGAGGCTATTGGTGGCAGAAGGCGGTCCTGTAAGTACCCTGGCCCTAAGCCATGGAGCGCTTTAAAGGTGATCACCAACACCTTGAAGCGCACCCGGAAGTCCACCGGAAGCCAATGCAGCTCGTGCAGGAGAGGAGTCACATGGGAGCAAATCAGACTGGGAGCCCTGTGCAAAGGAAACGACGAGTTAAATTTGCTCTTTAATACACAGTATAAGGTAGAAAATTTGACCTTTAACTTTCCTGATTCCATATCTATGGACTCAGGTTAACCATCTATGTGTCTTAGTTATCTGCCCATGCTTCTGTTTTTATATAATTCTTTTTTTTTTTTATTGGTTTAAAAAGGAACTCACAATTCATTTGTACTGGCTTTTTAAACTTTTCCAATTCTTCCTTCTCCTTCCTTCCTTCTTCCTTCTCATGGAGATTTTTTTAATACCTGTGTATTTAGAATCTAATTTTTCATGATTTCTGCTCCTTTTCAATTTATTTGAGGATGTTATCCCATAATTAACTGCCCACTTTCCTGAATCAATTAAAAACAGCTTTCCTGAAATCCAAAACACCTGACTGACTTCTTCCATCTTTCCTTCCTTAAATATCTTCCATTCAAACATGATGTGACCACTTTCTGTAAAATTGCTTTGCACCTTCAGGCCATTGACCAATTCCTCTCTGTTAGTCAGAATTATGTCCTGAATAGTTGACTTCTGTATTTCTTCTCTTTTCTGGGAAAAAAAATGAAATTTCTGAAAGATTAAATTTATAACATATCAGAATTCTGCTCTATCTCCCACACCTAAATGAGTTTTCCAGCAAATGTCAGGGTAGCTGAAGTCTTCAATTACCATTCTAATCTTGAGAACTTTAAAAAGTCTTCACTTCCTCTGTCTAGTAGATGGCCTATAGTAAACTCCCACAATAGCAACACTTTGGTTTCTTACCGGTTTTAACCTTATCTATATACTTTCAATAGGGCTTTTATTCAAGGACAAGAATTTCTTCACAGGCATATTGGATTCTTTTTTCCCCCATACAAAGTCATTCTGACTCCCCTTTTCTATTTCTTTGGAACAAGTAGAAGATACTACAAGAAGGCACTTGTATTTTCCTCTTTTCAAGCTTAACTCCCATTCTGCAAGTCTTCTGTAATAGCTATCACAGGTCATATTTGCTTTTCTGTGTGAAGATTTCTAGTTCGTCCTGTTTTCTATCTTATACTGTGTATTAAAGAGCAAATTTAACTCGTCGTTTCCTTTGCACAGGGCTCCCAGTCTGATTTGCAGTTTTGCAAGTTTATTTCAGAGTAAAAAATACAAAAACCTAAAGGGTGGTCAGCTTTTTCCATCGATTTTAGAATAAAAAACTTCAGAATAAAAAATATGAAGAAAGGATTAGCTGCATGCTGCATATTTAACCCATTGTGTAACTGGACACTAGGTACTTCTGTGCTAATCACGTCATGGATCCGCCCTCTCGGATCCGTCTCTGGATGCAAGTTTGGAGAATGAGGATGAGAGGAAAGAACGGAGCCGAGTTATGGCCTCAATTGGGGATTGGAGAGTGGTGAAATCCAGCAGGTTTTAACAGGTTCTGGAGAACCGGTAGCAGAAATTTTGAGTAGTTCAGAGAACTGGCAAATACCACCTCTGGCTGGCCCCAGAGTGGGGTGTGAATGGAGATTTTGCAATATCCTTCCCCTGCCACACCCACCAAGTCACGCCCACAGAACTGGTAGGGAAAATTTTTGGATTTCACCCCTGGGTGGAGTCCACACCTCCTTCTGATCCAAGGCCATGTAGAGCAGAATGGAGGCAGGCACAAAACTGTTCAGCTAGACTACTCGTGAGGAGGCACCTTCTTGAAGGGCTGCACCAGTATTGCCTACTTAATCCTGCCCCAAGGACTTTTAGTGTTGCTGGAGCAATGTGCCCAGTTCCATGCCTTGTGTTCTCATGCCATGTATCCTAACCCGTTTAACTTGTGGACTGCTTCCCAGGACTTTGTGTACGCCCGTTGGACTCTGTTACCCAGAGACTCTTGTCATGCTGACTTCAGAATTCAAACCTGTGCAACAAGGGCTGGGTGGGTTGTTGAATAAACATTTGTAGAAATCTTGCTGTATGTGCGTGTGTGTGAGGGGAGCAGGGCAGCATACATCACTGGTTACTCTGGCCAACACCATGAAATTATTGATTGATGAAATGGGGAAAATGAAGAAATGCGCTCCGTAGAGGAAAGCAATGTGGTACTTGATAACTAATATTACGTAATGAAGAAATGAAGACAAATAAAATGGAGTTTTACTTGAGGAGTGAAAGAGACAAATGCTCTCTTCCCACTGCCTAAACACAAAATTGGATATACTCATTAAAATTTACACACCATATCCTTTTGAGCAGTTTGCAAGTCCCTTTGAAACGATCTGAATAAGAATTTGAAAGGAAACCAAATTACTTTGAATTATAGGAAAAATATTTGTGGTGTTTACCTACGATAAGGTTGTACTTAGTAATCTCTAAAAGCCAAAGCTATCTGTCCTCTATCTGAGTGCTCCAGTGCATCCTCCCAGTCGTTTCCGTGTCTCAACATCTTTTATTTACCAATTAAGGCTGGGAGAAATATACTGCAAATATGCTGGTGGGAAAAATCAGAGCAAAGTGTTTGAGGTAAAGCTGCTGCTGGGGATGAAAGGAAGTAGTAGGCTACTTTATACTTCACTTTTTCTTCAGACGTCTTTTCCTGATTGCAGATTGGCTCAGTAAAGGCATCTTCACATAAAAGACGTTTTGCTCAATTTCCCGTGCCTATTTTAAAATTCATTTGTGGTTTTTTTTGCAGGATTTCTGTTTGCAATTTTTTTCCAACCTCTTTCTCTAAAGTTACTGATGGCACAAGAAATTACTACAGTTAGCCTCATTATAGATGGTCAGCTAGACCTGTTATCAAAACATCCACTTGCTTGTATAGTTTGAAATAAATATAGCACATGTTATTCAGGTTTCTGTCAAGAACATTGTGTCTTTGAAATGGTCATCTTTATCCCTCTGATAAAGTTTGAGATTACAATTGGAAGGGGGAAGTTACATAGAAGCTACATGTATTCTTGTAAGAATTTGGGTTATGTGCTATGTAGACTACTTGTTTATTCGGTAATGTTCGTAGTGTGATTGACATTAAAGTGAATTATGCTAAACCCTGTTGGTAGACCTTTATTTGTCAGGTCTAAAGAAGCAACACAATGGTTGGGATCTTAGACTAAGTCCTGTGTATAAAACTATGGTTGCTTGAATATATTACAGTTGACAGAGTTCTCACAGCAAAAAGAAACAAATCACATCTTGCTTTAGTGTGGCATGGGAACTTTACAATTGTGGCTGTAATGAGGACATAGCAAAAATGTTAATTAATATTTTATTTAGCTTTCCTGGAATAGGGAGAATAAAGACTCTGTTGTCTATCTCTCCCACTCAATCTTGCTTCCAAAAATTTATATACAACTCACATAAACCAAAAGAAAAATCAGGAGTGAAATTGCTTTTCTTAAGATTCTATACTACATTATAATAGTAGTGACCAGGAAAAGTCTGATGAATACCGGTATTGAACAAATCCTTTTTAATTTTTATTAGCTTCTGATATTTGAAAGTGTATGCTTGTGATTTCCTTCCATACTTAGTGTTGCTATTTCATGGAAGTCCATATACTGTATTTTTCGCACTATAAGACGCACTCTCCCCCAAAAAAGTGGGTGGAAATGTCTGTGTGTCTTATAGAGCAAATTTTGCAGTGGGGGGGAGGGGTTGGTCGCTGCCACCTGTCACCACTACCACTGTTCACCGCCGCAGGGAAACGCTGGAGCTTTTGCTGCTGAGTAACTGATTGGCGGTTGGATTGGCCTCTCAGAATATCACCGATCAGCTGTTTTAGGTGGTGGGGATTGCCACCCATCGCCGCCACTACCATTGCCGATCACTGCCAATCGCAACAGTCATTTGCTAGCCATTCGTCACTGCCGATTGCCACCACCATTCGACCGACAGCGATGGGTGTGATCAGCAGCGGCGGCAATCCCCGCCACCTAGAACAGATGATTGGCAGTATTCCAGGAGGCCGATCCAATCGCTAATCAACCGCTCGGCAGCAAAGGTTCCAACATTTCCCAGCGGTGGCAACAGCTCAGCTCAGTTGATCAGTGGTGGGTGCAACAGAGCGGATCCCTGATGAGCCACATGCTGGGGCTGTGATAACATGCTGGAGCTGACCAGGCTGTTTGCTGTTTGCTGCAAGGACGCTAGCCAGATGAATACCGGATGGATGCTGGGAGGCAGAGGCAGATTTTTTTGTTTTTTGTTTCCCTTCTCTAAAGCTAATTGCGTCTTATGGTCTGGTGCGTCGTATAGTACGAAAAATACGGTATCTACTGCTTACTTTAGTCGCTAATGGAACCTTTCTCTTCTGTTCATTTGTAACTGAATACAGGTATTACATTGGTCGTCGAATGTACATAGTGATATCTGAGCCAGATATGATCAAATGTATCTTAGAGGATGATTTCAGAAACTTCAGGAACAGAATGGTAAGTCAGCAAATTAAAACTGTGGTTCCTTCTCTTTGATTCTCTGTTTCATGTCCTAATATTGTCTTCCATGGTCCTATTCTGAATGTCTCCTATGTACAGATATAAAGAGTAAGTCTTTTCAGTAGTGGCCCCGTTTTCAATAATATCCTCCCCAATCATTTGCCTGCAATTTACTTTGTTCTCTTTTAAGTATAAAACTAAGACAGTTCCATGTTCTTAGGCCTTATCATGATAATTTTACATTTATACTATAGTATGGCATTTTTGATACATTTTTATGCTTCTAAGCAATTGATGTCTTAAAATAGCTATGCTGTCCTTAATTGAAACATTTAATTGTGACTATAAAATGTTTAAAAACCACACTAGGAAAACTTCTGTTTTGAAGGAAAACATAGGTGAGATGGGTGACAAATAAAGTCAAGTAAATAAATAATTTTAAATTAAGGGAAAAAACCAAGCAAATAAAATCATAAGAATTCTACAAGGACTATTTGACTGTTTTGTTGTTTTCAGTATTTCACTGATTCTTCGGTGTATGATGTAAGTTACTCTAAAGAGGGACAAACATCTCTCCAGTACTTTCCCATATTTCTTATAAATGTTTTAAATAAATGAACAAAAAGGGGTGGGGCCAGGGGTGAAATGCTCCCGGTTTGCCCAGTCCGGTAGCAATGGCGGTGGGTGGTTTGGAGAACCGGTAGCAAAAATCCCTGCCCTCCCCCATGCCCAGCTGAGCCGCACAATCATCAGAAGCTTTTTTTTTAATTTTTAAAAGCATTTTTTCTACAACCTCTTCGGCCAAAAAAATGCTTTTAAAAGTAAAAAAAAAAGCCTCTGATGATCGTGCGGCTCAGCTGGGATCATCAGAGGCTTTTAAAAGCATTTATTTTTACAACCTCTTTGAGGTTGTAGAAAAAAATGTTTTTAAAAGAAAAAAAAGCCTCTTATGATCAGGCAACTCAGCTGGGATTGTCAGAGGCTTTTCAAACCATTTTTTTTACAACCTCTTCGGTTGAAGAGGTTGTAGAAAAAATAATTTTAAAAGTAAAAAAAAAAAAGTTGGCCATGCCCACCCAGTCACATTACCCCCACCACCAAGCCATGCCCACAGAACCGGTAGTAACAAATTTTACATTTCACCACTGGATGGGACTATGTTATGGCTAAGAGTTTCAGCAATATGTCCATTGCTCAGGTCAAAAATGAATACTTTGGATTGGTTCAGTATCGTACTGTACAAGGTAAGGTGACAATCATGTAAAGCAGGGTGTAATCTTTTTTAAAATATTTAAATAATTTGTCATTATAAATATTTTTAAATTAAATAATTATTTAAAATCAAAGGTTTGGAATAAAGGGATCATTGAAAGGGAAAGAATAACAGGGATTTAATTGTTTTTATTAGAATTCTATTAGAATAGGGAGGGGCACGGTGGCTCAGTGGCTAAGATGCCGAGCTTGTAAATCGAGAAGTCGGTAGTTCAGCAGTTTGAATCCCTAGTGCCGCGTGACGGCATGAGCTCCCGTTACTTGTCCCAGCTTCTGCCAACTTAACAATTCGAAAGCACGTAAAAAATGCAAGTAGAAAAATAGGGACCACCTTTGGTGGGAAGGTAACAGTGTTCTGTGCTCCTTTGGCATTTAGTCATGCCGGCCACATGACCATGGAAACGTCTTCGGACAGTGCTGGCTCTTCGACTTTGAAACGGAGATGGCACCGCCCCCTAGAGTCGGGAACGACTAGCACATATGTGCGAGAGGAACCTTTACCTTACTAGAATTGCAGACTGAATTGAGAATTAGTGTTATTTATTTGCTTGCTTGCTTGCTACAGTTTATATGCTGCTCAATGCAAACAAGGATTTACATAGTTGCTGTTTACATTTGGGGAAGTTAATTACACATTACTTCAATTGAAATTTCCCTTCCCATACCTATTGGAAGAAAACATACAAGTTGATTTGACTTATTAGGCCCATGCTATGAGAAGAAAATGAATTGGATTGTCTCACATTTTTTTAATCCAAATTACGTATTGTCACAGGCCCTTTGTTTTCAAAAGCCATTTACTCAGTAGTAGCTAGTTGCTTGTGTAGAACTTCATCTACTTTATTCCTAAGAGGTAGATGTCTATGGAGATTCTCAGTCATCCAGGTCATGGTTGTCCCAAAGATGCTTTTTCAGGAGCTGAAGAAGCTTCTTGGATGAGAAGGGAAATGTCTTCAAAGAAAAACCAGAAAGTCCAGTTGCCTCTTGAAAAAGCACTTTTGGGACCTAAGAGGTAGAGTATGATAGCATATGAGAAAGAAATGGAAGGATCTCTATACATAAACAATGTATATAAATTGTGAACAGTGTTTCTCCATAATGCTTTGGAATTTAACAGTTAATTTGTAGGTTTCTTGAAAGAATACAGAAAAGACAACACATTCATGCATGTCACACTCCATCCATAAGAATGTCTTCAAAACTCCTTTGAAAGACTTTATTAAACAAATTATTTGTCAACAAACTGAATGAGAACTTGTAGAAAAGAGATGGAACATCACTTCCCTGTCTAGGAGTAAGATATGCCACTATCTTTTAATTTTGTTCATTGTTATTATCTTCAGTTTGGGATGAGAATACAGATCTCCACTGTCTATTTTATAGCAAAGATGGGCAACTTTGGTCACATTTTAATTCTGTGGGAGAATGATAGCAAGAGGTTATAATTGATGAGGTAGTGTTACAATGTTGGGATATTGTGACATATATACATTTATATTTGAAGCAGATTGCACATTAGGGAGGGGTTGCATAATGGTTATTATTGCTATTAAATGTATTAAATCTATGCAAAATCTTACACCATTCTTGCCTTAATTTTTATTTTAGTGGCAGAATTTGGATACAATGATAATGGGCTTGAAGGCTACATATGACCGATTCTTGCTTATTTCTGCTTTAATAAAATAACTTTTGGAAGCTTATATCTATATAGCTAATTTCTTCATGAATTTACCTCGTATTTCCAGCTCCTAAATTCTGTATTCAAGACCGATGAAATAAATACCTGGAGACTTTAAAAAGGCCACTCATGCCTTAGGCTGAAATTCCATCTCTGGCCAGTTAATAATCTCTTCATGATCCTGTCTCGTTCCCAGACTTAGCACACTTTGATGGTGTCAACCTAGACAGCTTTAGGTTCAATCATTTTCTCACTTTATGTCTGGCTACTGAATTTAATTAATACATATATATATATATATATAATTAACTTTGACTCCTGTCCTTTCCCAAGAATTTGGGATGGGTGCAGTATTTAAAGGCATACCAAAATGCATACAAGGTGCACAAATACATCTGTTTTAAATGATTTGGGATAGGTTTTTTGTCATGAAACTTCACCCAGATTCAACGTGCAATCCTAGCTACTTCAAATAAGAAATGCAAAGTAACATTTTAAAGAGACAGGAGGGGGAAAAAAAAAAAGCTCCCTTGTTCAACTTTGAATGCACTGAAAAAAGCCACTGCTCAATTGTTTCTCAAAAGCTCTGTGAGATGGCGATTATCCAAGGCAAGGACATAGAAGCAGCAATTGACAACTCTTCTTTTCTTCTTCTTCCTCTTCCTCCTCACCAGGGGTGTCAAACTCGATTTTATTGAGGGCCGCATCAGGTTTGTGTTCGACCTCAGGGCTAGAGTGGGTGTGGCCAGCTCAACGTTACACCTGTCGGGGTGCCTGTGGTGGCCTGAGCACTCTGTTAGCGAAAATGGGCTCCCGAGCTCCGTTTTCAGCTGCTATGGCCTCCTGCAACCCTCTGCCAGCTCTGTTTTCACTGGCAGAAGCACCGTGGGCCAGTCCTTTGTTGTTTCCCGGGTGGCCCCGCAGGGCAGATCTAAGTCCCTCGTGGGCCAGATCCAGCCCCGAGGCCTTGAATTTGATACCCCTGCTCCTCACTATCGAATATAATTGTTTAATAAAGATGAAATCAGACATTAATAAATTAATAGGAAAACAGATACCCCTCAAGGTGAGAGCCACCCCCCCCACCCTCTTGGCCTTCCAAAAAAGCCTCAAAATCTGATTCTGCCATTTGGTCTGGGGACACGATGGGGGTGTACCACCATGCTGGAGGTGGTTAGTGGACCGGGAAGGAGATTCCCCACCCCACCCCCGCTGCATCTCCACCCCATTATATTTTGGGTTTTATTTAATCTGTTGATTTTAATATTTAATATTTTAACATTTTGTACTTACTTTTACAATGTTGTAAGCCACCCGGAGTCACTTGACAATGAGATGGTTAGCATATAAATTGAATAAATAATAATAAACAAATCATTGCCTGTAGAAAAAAAAATCCTTTCTAAGTTCTGAGGGGCCAGCCCTTTGAGATAAGCCAAGTCAGGAAATAGACATGCACAAGAAATACTTTAGTGATAAAGGCTATATTAATAGAATCTTGAAAGCTCATTGAATACTTACTATTTCTGGGTTCCCATTTTTTTTTTTTTAGTATCACTGCTTCCTTTGTATAATCTCCAATTCTGAATAGGACGTCATATAATTGTTTGATTTTAGTAGCCTTGCAATTTTACTTACGTTCACTTATTTTTAAAATGTCCAATATAATGTGCTGCTGCTTCTTTTTTTCAATTGTAGGTTTTCCCTGGTTTATGCTTTTCATATTCTATGTTCTAATGGCATGTATTGTTTAAAACAAGAAGTCCTTTTTCAGTAATGGCACAATTAGTAAGTAAAGACTTGTTTGGACTTCCTTATAGATTTGGTTAAGTCATCACCTTCAGACTTCCTTAGGAAAGCTTAGCATTCGTGTCCAGTAAAACAAGACATACGTTTGACCAGGGAATCTATTTGTCTAGCACCCAAACAAATATTTTAGCTATATCCATATATTTTAACACAGTAGTTACTAACCTTTCTGGTTCCATGGACCACTAGCAGTGGCAGCAGGGGAGATTGGTGGCGGTGGGGGGGATGGTTTCAG